ATATATATATATATCGATGAAATACATGTTCACCATAATTCATGCTGCATGAAGATCTCACCTGTACTTGACCTTTGAACCATTCCTCTACTTCCCTCTCTGGCTTATTACTGTGCGCCACTAAGTCAGTACCACCAATGATCCTTGGCAAGCTTTGAGTCATTCCTGGATAACCACACTGCAAATGACAACAGTCAAAGAGTGCATTCCATTATATCAATAGTCTAATTTACATAACAATGTTATTGTTGAATATGACAATATAGAGGTGCCAAAGAGCTGGCCATATTTGCATAATGATATTTAACACCTGCTTTATAAGACCCAAAAAGAAATCTGTAGTTGCATAGACGGGGTACAGTCACTTCGCCCGAAATCCACTTTGCCCGAACTCCTTCGCCTGATTACCAGTTTGCCCGTTTTCCTTTTCGCTCGATTTACCGATGTTACAGGTATGCATCGGCCGTCATACACAGATTTTTCACTTGTTTCACCATCGGTGTTTGAATAAAATACTTTCACAGTGGTTTCGTTGGCAGAATAATTTCAATCCGCGCATTTTATGCACAACATTGTATAGTATATAATTAATATAAATAATTCTATTTTTTTCAAGACATTTTATCACTGAATAATAAAATTATTATTACATTATTTTTAAAAAAAGAATCAAAGATGTAAATTGTCTTGTACAGTGTGTGTTTTTATATTGCTCGATTGTATTAGCACCTGGTGTGCTACTTTATTTTTATTCGAGGGTAAATAAATAAATGTAATGTAAATGTAAATTATGCATTATATCTTTACTTTCATTGCTCCCCCCTTCCAGGAAACAAAAAGTTCATGCAATATTGGAAGTGAAACTGGGGAAATCAAACACAATACTAGTAAAATATTTCAAAAGTTTTTCCTCAACTGAATTTGTTGAATTGTTGTAGCTTTGTGTTTTACTGTGTCAAGTTACCAAAAAATGCTAATATTAAAGGAAAAATAAAGTTTTACTAAAGGAACTACCACCATCAAACAAAAAGGTGTGACAGTCCCTCAACTCATTGTTTCCTCCCGATACATAAATAGTATGACCCACACAAGATGGCCGCAATGGCATAAAATTACGTTACAACCCCGTTGTAAACTTCACATTCGTCACCTTATAAAAACAAATTTCGACTTCTACGTTATCTTGTTTTGACTACACGTAAATACCAAACATACGAGGAATCAGGCGAACTGGTAAGCGGGCGAAATGGCAATCGGGCAAACAGGTAATCGGGCGAACAGGTAATCGGGCGAACAGGTAATCAGGCGAACAGGTAATCGGGCGAAGTGGTAATTGGGCGAAATGTCCCCAATTCGCATAGACAGAAGACAGATAATGTCGTTGCATGGACATACCAAATAGTGTGGATAAAACTAAACTATGATTAAAGATTTTTTAAAATACAAAACCAGAACATTATCTTTATTTCTGGTCATCAGACTAAAATTGGCACGTATCTGGTAGCAGTTTTTTGTCAGAATTTTTTTCAGGATGTAAGCATCAATTTCGAAAGAGTTCCTCTTGCACCCCACCCCTAACTCTAACCATGGTTACTAAACCATGCTCTAACCCTCATCCCAGCCATCTAATTCAATAGTACATGTCTCCTCTCGATAAATATAGGCATCCTTAGGAGTGCATGTACAATTAAATTGTGTAGCACTGAAGAATAGGGGTAAAATTAGGGTTAGGGTTAGGGGGTGCAAAAAAACCTTTTTTTTCTTTCGGGTCTGATCCTTTAAGGCTAATTTATTGATAACAGAAGAAACACACATTATTTAGCAAAATCCCCTAAGTGAATAACAATTAGCAGTATGGTTTTGAGGTGTTCCTACCATTATGTAACAAGTATGTAGGTGTAAATGTGTGAATACCATCCTACGCAATCATGGATTAAACTTGAGGATTGATAGTGATAATAACAATGAAATGACAATGACAACCAATCGACTACTTGATTACAAAGGCTATTCTTAGACAAATTCTAGAACTTGTTCATTTCACATTTCTAACAAAATTAAATTTAAATTGCATATTCAGAAATTTGAAAATCAAGTTGGAAAGTCAGCCATGATAAAAGTCGTGTATGACTGTATGACTATTTTAACCCAAATTAATTTTCTCCAAAAAACGCGACAAGTTTTCGTAATTTATTGTCATGGATTTGTCATGAATAAAATGCAAATCATAGAATTTCTTTAATATTCACCCACCTCTTCTGTGAAATTTAATTGGAAGTGAAAATCAATCATTCTACAATACTGGTATAGTTTTAAACATGGTTACTAAGAGTAACCATGTTTTAAGTGACTAAGTTTTTTGAGTAATATTTCCAACCAAAACTGTGAAGCATCATTTTTATTTACTGTATTTTTGTATGATTTCGTTCGATAAATTAGTTGAAATTATGCAGGTTTATTTAGTAAAATGTGATAAAAGTTGCTTTTCACTGATCATTCATTTGATCAATATTTTCAAAATGGTATCAAACAAAAATTTTGTTTGTATATATTTTTTCCTGAATATCAATGTGATTGTGTATGTGATTCTGCACGTTTTTAAAACATACTTTTCTGAATTTCTTGAAATTCTTCACACCTTTATCACCCTCAACCGGTGTTTTATTTTGTGGTCTTGGCCGCCTTACAACCAAAGATTTTTCTTCCAATTCAATGAGTTTGCTTGGTTGATCTTCCTCTCTCTGGTACTCGGTGTTTGTCTTCACTAAAAATTGACCCTGAAAATAAAAAAATCAAATTTTGAAATTCAATTATTCATCCAGCAATAAACTTAATCACCTTTCCTATTAATAAAGTATAAACTGTAGTATTTCAATTCAGTTATAAAACATAAACCTGCTGAGGGCCTGGATCTTCTAACATAGGAGGTATTATATGTAAAACATCTACACTGATTGTGATCACCATTGAAAATGATAAAATCAGTTGCTATGGCAACAAATATTGTAGCTAGCTTACACTGAAGATTGTTCTGTCTAATTACCAAATCAAACACAAAAAATTGGTTTAATCACAGTCCCTAGAGGGACAGTGATGTAATTGACAGAGTCTACTTTATATTAGCAGGGAATTGTAATTGATTTCAGGATTCTCTTGCATAAAATTTCTTATGAATAATACAAAATCTAAAGCTGTAGGCGGGTCAGTGGGCAGTTTCTACAGATCTACAAAGTGGGAATACAACTTTAAATGCAGGAACCCTGGTGGAGTTGATGATATGAATCACACAAAGGTTCATAATATCATTCACAGTTGACTGGTGTAACAGTTTGTGAAGTCTGATATACACAAATAACTTTTTAATGACAGTGTGTTAACTGTGATCACGAACACCATGCACACATCCAGACACAAGTGTAGGAATTACAAAATTAACACTTCAGTTTCTGTGAATAGATACACAATAGTGTGATGTCATAATATCAAGTGGTAGGTAACATTCCGTCCAGTATCCAGTATATCCAAACACCAGTGTTAAATGTCTACCCTTGGCACATCAAACTCAAAGTATTCACACCTAACCGCCCAATGTTAAAATAATTTTCGAATTCACCAAATCAAATTTTAGAATAGAAAGAGAATGAGTGCTCACAATTTCACATTTCCGAGGATAGTGTTAATTAGTGTGGTAGAATAAATTGGAATGAACCAATTATAATATCACTAATGAAGGCACAAATACTGGTTCATAAATTTGCAATGTTTGAAATAAGTTCAGTGATTATCAATTTTCAGCATTTGTTGGCAACAAGGATGGGATGTGAGTGACATGCATGAGACACCTAACGGCCGTGTGCATACTAATACTTGCTTGGAGAACAAATTCACTATCAACTGCATACTTCTTGATTAATTTTCCCAAAACAAATTATTACAGAATTTGTTATTGAAATGTAAAAAATAGTTTAAACATGGTAGAAATTACGGTATTATAGTGGAAATTGTATCTGTTTTTGGACCCTGACATAAGTGCCAGGATGTGTGACCTTTAGGGGTCATGAATGCAGAAGGCTTCACCACCATAGCAAGGAGTATCTATTAATACAGTTTATACCTTGATTGATTTGAGTGTTGTTATAAAACCTTGTGGAATATCACCAGTGAATGGCTGCCTTTGGTTGTCATTAAGTAAATGGTCTTCACTTGTAGCTTGGACCACTTCCTACAATAACAATGGTTGTATGTAATACTGATAAAATTAATTGCCATGGTACCAAACAAGTGAATCCATGGTGATATGTCTCTTACATTATTTATAGCATGCAAATAACTGGAAAATTAGTTTTTAGTTGTCAAAAAAGGAATTTTTAAGCAGCATAGCTCGCTGTAGATGTTGTTTATATATGCATAGCCAGCTGCCTAGGGGCTGTTTGCATGTGCATAGTCAGCTGCCTAGGTAATGTTTGAAAATGAATAGCCAGCTGTCTAGGTACCATTCATATATGCATAGCTCTCCGTCTAGATGCTGTTCACATATGCATAGCCAGCTGTGTAGGTGCTGTTTACATATGCATAGCCAGCTGTGTAGGTGCTGTTTACATATGCATAGCCAGCTGTCTAGGGGCTGTTTACATATGCATAGCCAGCTGTCTAGGGGCTGTTTGCATATGCAAGCCAGCTGTCTAGGGGCTGTTTGCATATGCATAGCCAGCTGTCTAGGGGCTGTTTGCATATGCAAGCCAGCTGTCTAGGGGCTGTTTGCATATGCAAGCCAGCTGTCTAGGGGCTGTTTACATATGCATAGCCAGCTGTCTAGGGGCTGTTTGCATATGCATAGCCAGCTGTCTAGGGGCTGTTTGCATATGCATAGCCAGCTGTCTAGGGGCTGTTTGCATATGCATAGCCAGCTGTCTAGGGGCTGTTTGCATATGCAAGCCAGCTGTCTAGGGGCTGTTTACATGTG